CACATCAGTTCAGTTCTCAGGTCTCTGCACTGGCTTCCCTTTGCTTGGAGAATACACTTAAAAGCAGCTTTGCTTGTGTTCAAGTCTCTGGCCTTGCACCTAAGTACCTCCTGGAGTCGGGGCAGCACCATATATGAACCAACTCAGACTCTGAGGAGCATAGCAGACTGTTCCAGATTTTAGCCTGTCTCCTGAAAATGTGAGACAGGCCTCTATTCTGACAATGTCCATATTGCTTTGCTGTGCAACAAATAAAGAATCGTATCTTCACTATGTACTGTGATCATTTATTATTTTAATGCCTTGTATTGTTTCTATCTTGTTTTGTTAATCACTTTGCCTTGTGTATACTGTATAATACTGTATAAAAAACTTGTCTTGCCAGAATACTAGATCGGAATATCCAAACTTATGTTAAGATACCTCTGAAGTGTAAATAACCACAGATGCAAAATATTAGCTTTAAACTCACTCTCCACAAAAAAAAAACAATGCCTTGCCATGTATCAAATTATATAAACAACACGTGGCCTTTTCTCTCTGTTTCCTGATGAAACTGAGTTTGATACCCTTAATTTAGACAAAACGGGCAGAGATCTTGTATGTTCTGGATAATAGCATGGAAGGAACAAAAACAGCTCCAGGTCTGTGGTTTTGATGAGGGAACAATGTTTAACATATTAAAGGCTCAAATGAGGATTTTGCTTGACATGTCTCTACACTATATGCCTTGAATTAAACAGCAGTTAATATTTAAACCGATTTTGCTTAAATTATGTGATATTTTTCAACAAATTACTGTTTGCTTGGCCATGTGAGTCGCAGTGAAGCTTTTCCTGGCTGTTGCCTAGCAACAGTGGAGGAAAAATAGATGAGGTGATGAGTGAAGGTGAGCCCTGGGGAAGTAGGAGGAGAGACGGGGGAATGAAGCACGGCTTATTTTCTCCTCATCAAGATTGTAGCAGTCAGTTCAGACGAGAAAAGTTTTGCAATAACCAAATACTTTAAATACATTTTCTCAATTGGTGCTTTGTTTCTGTAATGTAGTTCCCAAAACAAACAAGAGTAAATACAATAAAAGTAATTTGTTGTGAGACTTGTGTAGCGTTTGTCTTTTCTATTGATTGTGTATATTTGGCCTACTTCTGTCATGAGCTGTTTGGCTTCTTAGCCGCACTGCTGCAGTGGCCTTGTTGCTTGCTTTCTCCAACAACATCACATTTCTTTCTCGAACACACATCACCTTGTTCAAATGGACTACTAGTACTAATACATTCTAAATACTTTATTTCAAAGTATAATGTAATGGTTGGATGCTTTAGTTTGTGCACAGTCCTGTATTTGAATAATGCATTTATCATAAATGAAGATTAAAATACAGGACTGTGCACAAACTAAAGTAGTGCATCAAGACCATTACATGATACTTTGAAATAAAGTATTTACAAATGCATACGAACCAAAATCTTTTAAAACTATTTTGCTAATGCTAGTGCTAATAAACAAGAACATCTAATGTGTGTAAAATAAAACAATTCCCAAGAGTGACAGAATAAGATGTGAAGACAGAGAAGAAGACTATAAAGGAGGAGAAATCACCAGGACGGAGTGTGCACTGTCCCAAAGCGGGAGTAGTGAGGGAGGGAGGGCCAAAGATCAATATCTAATTTCAGTGCAGAGCTCATTGTGGACGGTTTTCCAATAAGCTGGGATAGAACTCCAAAGTTTGAATAGTGCTGCATCTCTGTCGGCCTTTGTGAGCTGTGTTTTGGTCCCATGTCATCCAAACATTTTTGTGAGCCACTCGCAATTTAATCGGATACCTATCTGTGTAGTACATGGTGGTGGTTACTAGGAAGTAACCCAAAGTAATGGTCCTCATCAATTTATTCATCACTCATTACTCATTACTTTACAGTTGGTTAATTGTAGAAAACATGGGCTTCTTCTGTTTAACACAGCGTCATGGATAAAACAACTTTTATTTTCCGAAATCTGAAGGTTTATACTGTAGGCCACTATAGCCAGTATATGCTGTAATAAAACATTTTAAACTTAGTTTTCCAGGAAGGTGTCTTCTGTAACGTTTGCACCATGCTTATCATTTACATGACGTTCCATTGGTTATGAAACATTTGTGTTGTTGCTGTGGATACACAACACATGCTTTTAAGTCAAAGTAAAAGATTCCTATTTCTCAGACAGTTTTAGCTTTGAACATCTCACAGAGCACTGAGAAATGGAAAGAATATGACACCACTGCGAACTTACCAAGACACGGTCATCCACCTGAACTAACAAGCTGATCAGATGTGCTCCCGGATGACTCTGTAGGAGCTGCGAACCTTTATTTGATTTTATTTTAGCCATTCTGAAAATTTTAACAGAGTTTGTTCACTTTTAGACCAACTCTGTTAAAATTTAGTGTGTTATAGTCCATTGACAGCTCAATATTTCTCGTTTATGGTTTTAGTTTCCCCAGAGTGTCCTCTGGAGGAGCCCTCTGCACTGGGAGCAGTGGTCAGCTGGGGCTGTGGGCGTGTGGCTCTTGGACCTGGTGGAGATTTGGAGCCTCAGCTTCATCTCTCCTCTGGGTGTTGTCCCGCCTCTGGTGCAGACGGTTCCTCGGATGGTGCTTCCAGCCTGATGTTTTCCATGGTTTTTTCGATTTTAAGTGACTGTGTGTGAGCCAAATGCAAAATGTTATGTATTCTCATCTACTACATTATGCTGGGGTCAAATATGGTGGGGGGACCAACATGCTCTGGGCCTGATTTTTTTTCAGTAGAGACAGGGACGATAAAAAAAAGGATTTGTTCTAGAGTTAGCAAATCACATGAGGCGGAAGCAGAGATTTCCCTTCCAGCAGGACAATGACTCTAAAAATAACATTAGAACTAAAATCAAATGATTTAATAATAAAATATATTTGTGTGTTCGAATGGCCCAGTCAAAAGTCCAGACCAAGTGAAAATCTGTTAAAAATGCTGTTTACAAATGTTCTCCATCTAATCTATTTGAGAGTTGTTTTGTAAGGATGAATGGGCAGATGTGTAAAATATTTCTGTTATTGTTTTAACAATATAAAAATCTAAATGATATCTTTGCCACTTCACAGTTGTTTGTTACTTTGTCTTTCAACAAATTAAAATATATGACTTGTGAGTGAGGGGGCTTCCATCTTGTGGCCAACATCTTGTTGTCGGCCAAGAGCCCTGCCAGGAGAACCCTGTTTAGCTCTGTTAAGTGATTAGAAGAAAGATCAGGGGAGAGTAGGACACCGGGCACGGCAGACGGCCGGGCAGACCACCAGCCACAACTTACCAAATCAAATGTTTTTCTTTGTGGTCATAGCAAAATGTCCAAAAGTTTTTTTTAGTACTATTGCAAACCACTGTATATAAGTGGTTACACGACTGTTTAGCATAAGGAGCTGGAGACAGACTAAATAGCAGATATTGCACATTCTTATACTACATTAATGCACCTTATTACTACAGGTTGACAGAAGTTCATTTTTGATCAGAATTGATTATTTATTCTTTTTTTAAAAAAGGGGGAATGGACATGATGGTTACATTATTTATGCTAACATTTAATATTGTGCTTTGCAAGTTGAGAATCCAATCTAAAAGCAGAATGAGCACCACATGATTCTCACATCTGGGTTGCCAGTTTCTTTGGAGAAGTCCAGCTTGTTTGTAATCTGTGGTGTAGGGCATCTTTGTGTGTGTACTTTAACATTCAAGGACCCTGGCAACAAAGGTTCAGATTATCTGTAATCTGTAATTAATATATTTATTTAGTAAAGTCCACTTACTATTCCTTGAAGTTGTTTGTCAGAGTGTGTAATTTATAAAATCTTTAGGTAACTTTTGGTTAACTAAATCTCCCACAGTACTACAGTCCAGTCATTGCTCAGCGTTATCAAGCGCAAGAGCGTCTCTCACTGGTTTCTATCGGTACTTCACCCAGGGTGAGAGAGGGCCTTTTCCGATGAGTCCCTCCCATGGATATATTGGTCCTTTCCACCCTTTCCCTCACCCTTAAGTATCACCTCATGTCCATTTTATTTATAATGCTCTTTTCACACAAAAAGCGTAACGCAGTGGTTCACAGTATGTTAACAAGAAAACTACAAACGCACGGTCAACCATTATCAATAAAATGGGTTCAGAAAACTAAATAGAAACAATATGTGGATGTCTACTATTTACACACTGGTCCAATGTCCAAATTTTGATCTGGAACAAAATATACACACATTACAGCCTTAGTGAGACATTATACTATCACCTGTGATAAATATGACACTTTAATATTAGAGACAGGTGTGGGCGGGGCTTCCATGAGAAGGGGGTACGGCCTATGCTCCATGGGGTGCTCATACTTTATCAAACCAGAAATTACTTTTCCAGTAATGATCGAGCCTTGATCTACCCCAGATTTATATCACCTTGTCTTGAATCATGGTGCATATGCGATTCAAGATCAAGTAATGTTCATGTTGTTCTCATTTTGTTAGCAGGGAAAATCTGACTTCTGTTCTTCGTTCACGCCATCAGCGAGTGTAGTGTAGTAGGGCCATAGACTGTATACACCAGGGACCAGTCTCTTTTTGGGTAAATGACTTAACTAGATCCGCGAGAGCACACACCACAGCACAGAATCCGCTCAAAAGTATGTAGATAGCCATGGCTACAGCCACATTGCCACCTAGTGGCCATAACGTAGTATCATAATCGCCAATCATAAGATCCATGGGTGCAGCTCTGACTGCCACCCCCACAACCCAGAAATGGATTTAGGGGAAGAAAATTGATGGATGGATGGACTACGCGGAAAGTCGTATTCATTTGAAACATAATTTAAACACCCCGTGTAATTCTTTCTGAAGGAACCATGTCATCTGCATACGTTTTAAAAATTAACACATTATAAATAAATAACAATAATTGTAAATCGAAGAATAAAGGAGCACAGTAGGTTTCTGACAGACCATGTACAACTCTACCACGTGCCCCTGCAGTTTCATGGTGTTATATTGATTGACCAGCAGAGGGCGACAAAGACCCTCCTGCCGGACAGGAACCAAATAAGGAAATGACGTGCTCCATGTGCAGCGGTGTCCCAAATAGAACCAGCAGAGCACAAGCACCTCAGGACCAGCGCAGGACCAGCACAGGACCGAGACCAAACTGCTGCTAACACGGGGGAGGTTGGTATCGCACTGTCTGTGTTTAAAGAGCTACCATAATAAACAACTACTGCTAGTGCAAGGAGTTATGATGCTATGTGGTTTGGTTAAGGTTCACACGTGACTGATCTGTCTTACTTAATACTTACGCTGTAATAACATTAGAGACAGCTATGTTTGACTCTTTCTTTGCTTCATGAACACCAACATGTATCTTTTTTTACTCAACCCTAAGCTAGGCATAATTATTGTGTCACTTTCCTGTTCTCTCTTTGGAATTTCAAGAGTCCTGCTGACAGCTGAGGCACCAAGAACTTTACATTTGGCCATTACCTGAACCTAATGGGATTCTTTTCTTTTTAAAAGATGAAAATAACCCAGCATTTTCTATGATCCAGAGCCTTAAGAGGGAAACATTCAAAAGTTGTATGAACTGCACACATGTTTGCATTATGACTTTATTATTATATTATGACTCAAGTCATCTGCCTTTGTCTGTTAAAGTCAGTCGGCGACTTCCAAGTTTACACCAGATACTATAGGAATAACAGGAGCACTTCTGACTCCATCTCAACAGTAGCACAAATTCTGAAACACTTAGAAAATGTTAAAGCACATGCAGTGGTATTTTTTGACTTAAGCTCAGCATTTAATACGACTTATATTGACACTTTTGCCAGTAAGCTTGCCCATTTAAATGTAAACACCTGGCTGATTAAATGGTACTACTCTCCTCCGTCCATGTCCATGGGTCAATTCTGTGTTTTCGAGGGAAACAGTCTGCAGTACAGGCGTGCCCCAGGGTACAGTTAGCTCTTCTCTTTTGTTTACATTATACACAAAGACTGTGTTAGCTTGCAACCCAACCAATATATTATCAAATTTTCTGATGACACCGCTTTAATTATTCTGCTCACGAGCCGCTCTGACACCAGTGGCCAAACATCTGCAATCGACCAATTCATAAAGTGGTGCGATGATCACCACTTACAAGTTAATGTGAACAAGACAAGAGATGATTGTAGATCCTTGTTCGATAGGGGACCATAGCAACGTCTTCATTCATGGACAAATAATTGAGCAGGTTTCATCTTATAGGTACCTTGGGGTGGAACTGGACAATGAACTGTGTTGGCACAATCATGTGTCGAATATCTGTGCAAAGATCCATCAGCGGCTGTACTTTCTTTGTAGGCTTAGAGCAGCCATTCCCAAACTCAGTAACACCGAGGCCCCCTTAAAAATCTGACGGGTCTGCGTGGCCCCCCAAAATAATAACCAAGAAGACAACATTAAGAATAGGCTCTTCTGGTTATTTTATTTTGGGGAAATAGCCTCTGCTACAAACATTGTAATACAAAAATGATTACAGTGGATTATTCAAGTCAAATAATGAACACAAATATTTTAATATTACAAACAAAACATTATAAATTTAACATCAAATAATTATATATATATATATATATTTTTTATGACCTCCCGCGGCCCCCCTGCAGTACCCTCGCGGCCCACCAGGGGGCCGCGGACCCCACTTTGGGAGACACTGGCTTAGAGTATTTGGAGTGAGTCAAAATGTTATGTTGACCTTCTATAGAGCGAGTATTGAATCTATACTGAGATACGGAATCGTGAGCTGGTTTGGTAACCTCACGGTGAAATACAAATCACAGACCCAGAGGCTGCAAAAACTAGCCGGGAAGATCATGGGAGTGTCGCTGTCCTGTCCACTCTAATCTCGCCTCAGACTATTTTTGAGCAGTCAGTGATTAGACAGGCCAAGAACATCATCACAGACTCCACTCATGTTCTCTACTCACAATACGAATTGCTGCATTCTGGGTAAGAGGTACAGGATCCCACTGTGCAAAAGCAACAGGTTTAAGAACTCTTTTGTACCTCAGTCCATAAAGCTACTAAGTTACATCAGGTGATTGTGCATTTGTGTCAATGAATGTTTATATGTGTATTGTCTGTGTTTTTTTGTTTGTTTTTTGTTTTTTTATGTCAAGTGCTACTGACCCCTGCTTCAACACATTTCTCCTTTGGGAGACGACATAATAAAGAAATCTGAAATTTGAGTACGTCTGGCTTTTTGAGGGACATTTGGGAAAAAAGCAAATACATACATCATTAAATATCTTTACTTTGTTTCAGGATGGATGACATCGCAAAGGATGAGAAAGGCTTTTACTCCCATGCTGAAGGGTACTGGAAGGATGTGCCTCCAACAGTGGACGGGATGCTTGGCGGCTATGGCAGCATCTCCAACATCGACTTGAATGGATCGAAGGCTTTTTTACAGAAATATCTTGGAGTAAGAAATTATAGTCTCTGTATTACGACAAATGCTTCCATAAAACATGGGTGTCTAACTTGGCACCCTCTTTACTGTGATAACTCAGTATTAGAAAGACTTCAAAAGTTCACCTGGACACCTGTTTTAAGGTGTTTTTTTTAAAGAGCCTACATGTTACCTATATAGTAAAAGTCTCTTTATGTTCAAGATTCTAAAGCTCTTTTTTTGTGTTAAGGAAGGGGACAGTAAGACCAATGCTGGTTGTGCACTGGACTGCGGAGCGGGCATCGGGCGAATCACCAAGCGCCTTTTGTTGCCACTTTTTAAAACTGTGGATTTGGTGGATGTGACGCAAGAGTTTCTGGACAAAGCCAAAACGTATCTGGGAGATGACAGTAAACGAGTGGGGAACTATTTCTGTTGCGGATTACAAGACTTTGTGCCAGAGAGTGGGCGATATGATGTGATATGGATTCAGTGGGTAATAGGTGAGTTCTTCTTCTTATTCTTCTGTTTTCAACTTTTGAATAGAGGTCAGATAGAGTTTGTCTTTCTTTCAGGACACCTAACGGACAACCATCTGGTGGAGTTCCTGAAGCGCTGTAAGAAAGCTCTGCGGCCCAATGGGCTCATAGTGATCAAGGACAATGTGTCTTATGAGGGAGTGGTCCCTGATGATGTAGACAGTAGTGTTTGTAGGGATCTAGACATCGTCCGCAGTCTTGTCAAAAAAGCCGATCTACAAATTATCCATGAAGAACAACAAAAGAACCTCCCAAAAGAGATCTACCAGGTCCACACTATAGCACTGAGATGAACATGGACATATTTTATGTTTTATGTTTTCTGACTGTTTTAATGAATATGTGCACAGCGCCTCAGTCTGCTGAGCACTTTTGCATCACTAGTATTACTACTATAAGCTCACTTGTTTAGTGTTAGGACAAACAAGGTTTTTATAAGAGGTTACAAGGTTCACTATTTTAGTAAATTAATAAATGAGAATATTACGGAGGACTTATGCGTGTTTGGCAGTTTGTATCAGTGAATGTGGATATACTAAAGTCTATAACTATAACCTAATACATTTTTTTTATGGATATCCAAACCAAAATGGTAAAGTTTCAAAAAGTTCCAAAATGATTTATATATTTGATCTGGCTCAAAGAATGTGGAAGTTTATTAAATCCAGTGAAGAAGAAAATAATTGTCCATTGTTCATATTCTAGACCTTATCATGGACCAGCAGGATCAGTTTAATATAGAACTATCCATGCATTTACAGACCAGTTGTGCACATGGGACAAACTTGACTTTACGATTCTCAAAAGTCCATGAATCAAACGTTCACATGTGATCAGGACCAGGTCTCGGTCTGAAAACGGCCCGACTTCTCCAGAGCCGCCAGCATCTGCTCTGCCTCCGGAGCCGAAACTCCACCTCTCTCTTGAAACACCCCCTTCAAGGCGTCACACACACTACTGGGCATCTCTTTGGCATTTCTAGAAAAAAGTAAACAAGCCGTTTTTATGAAGTTACACCAGAAAAACTATATCCATGTGTGACTTATATTATTGTATTTAGGCCATAAAAATGTCAGCAACTCACCCAGCAATATAAAAGTATGCATTTTTATTGACCATCAAGTCCATCAATAATTCAGCATTTTCACTTATCCGATGTTGAACGTAGACTTTATGTTCCTATAAGAAGATTTAAAAAAAAAAACATTAGTGCATTTTAGTGATTAATGAGCTAAAAATGAATGCATCACCTGGTCTCGAGAGAAGGCCGTGAAGAGGGTCAAATGCTCCTCCTTGACCTTCTCCTCCCATTCAGCTTTGAAATAGAAGTCTTTAAATTCAGACCGGCACCCAAAGAAAAGAACATTGGCTGTGGAGATGGGCAAAACTCATTAGAAAACTGAAAAAAAAAAAACTGCTGTTGCTGGTTGGTAAAAGTGGCCCTCACCTGTTTTTCCCTCAGCTATCCTTTCCTGTATAACCGACCGAAAAGGAGCTACCCCCGTCCCAGGCCCCACCATAATGACCGGAGTATCCATGTCTTTGGGAAACTTCAGTGAGCCTTTTTTCACCCACAACGGCACGTTCACCTCTGAGAATATCAAATAAACACGTTAAAAATCTGCGCCATTATAAAAGGGCAAGACCACTAACAACGTTGTACCTTTTTGTGGGTCGAGTGAAGCCAACCAGTTTGAGCAGAGGCCTCTCCTGGGGTTGTAGAGCTTTGTCTTGTAACGAACCACAGCTACAAGTATCTGGATCTTGTTTGGATGAGCCTGTACGGATGTGGCATACGGCAAAACTATTCTCAATCATGGAAATCATTAAAGGAGAGATTTACAGGAAGCACAATTTAAATTTCTGCATGTACAAAGTGGGAAAGAACAAAAACTCCCAAATCTTCCCACTGCAGATTCCATCACACCGTTTAACTACTTTTTAATGAATTTGTAAGAGAAACCCTGGATAAGGCTGGCCCGGTTTCACGTTTATAAGTAAAGTTCAAAAGTAAGCCATCTTTATTTATATTTCAAGGTCACACAAATAGCTTTACAATGTTGCTTTTTTCTGCCTGAGATGTTGCTGCAGTACAGTGTTCATGGTTTTACATGGGTCCAGACCAGAGCAGAGAGGATTCATGGTTCGAACCAAGTGGATCAGGTGAAAATCCACTGGAGGAATGCTAACTTTTTGAAAAATGCTAATGAAGCATTTAGCATTTTACTTTGGACAAGAGCAGAGAAACTGGTCCAAACCAAGCGGCTACTTCACCCTGTGACCTGTCCTGCTCCACCCAGAGGCTACTCCACCTCTGCTGCTGTGACCCGTCCTGCTCCACCCAGAGGCTACTCCACCTCTGTTGGTGTGACCTGAAGGGCTGTGGCTGATTATTACTATTATTAGCTTTTTTAAATGATATATTTTATTTTTGCTGCTACTGGACACCTGAATTTCTCTGACGGGGATCAATGAAGTATCTATTGAATTCATCTGATAGGAGAATTGAATATGGATTTGTTCAAATTCAAAAGGTGCTTTGTACTAACTGTAAGTAAGAAATCTTTGTATAGCGCCTTTCACAGATCAGACAAAGCACTTTACATTTGTTGTGGGCATTTGTCCTCTCACTCCACACAGAACCTACACATACACGGGGAGAACATGCAAACTCCACACAGAAAGGCATCAAACTCAGGCCCTCCTTGCTGTGTGTACAAGTGCTAACCACTGCGCCACCGTGTAGTTTATTAGTGGATTGAGGGATTATATTGTCTACAAACAAGTTTAACTCATGAAACTATTGTGAAATGGGTTGATAGAAGTTACCTTTAGGGATGATGCGATGGAAAAAGACCGAGGCTGGATCTCCGGAAACAGATCCAGAAGATAATCTACTTTAATTTCTGCAGTGGTGTTTGGGAAATCAGCCAAGACCTGAAAACAAGTTCCAGATTTACAACCACAATATAATAATAATAATGGAAATGGATCCAATAGGTTGAGTGTGTCACCTCCAGGGCCGTGCGGCGGGGGCGGCTGCAGTAAGCGTGCAGATCCTCCTGTCCCGCTGCCGAGCTGAATTCTAACAGTTTTTCTCGCTCAAGTTCATCTTTAGCAAAAGTCGATAGTAATTCAAAGAAGGATCGTCGAGGCACAGCAGCAATGTCGAGGTATGTTTCCACCAGGTGGCGCACAGTGCAGGGCTCAAGAAGTCTCACAGGGACTATTTCAAAGACAATACAAATACATTTTTCTCAAAAATGTCAGACTATCGGAAAAATAGCTGAAATGTATGTTTTGAAAAAAGGTTCAAAAGTAGAGTTTTAAATTTCAAAAAGAAGAAATGGGAAACATTTCTTCTTTTTGAAGAAGAAATGCGTGTCCCATTTATGTTTCACACAAATGGGACACGCTGTTTCTTTGTGTGGCTCAAAACAACATTTAATTAAAACCAACTGATTTTGTGAAGTAGAGCGAGTTACACAAGTTAACTTCTTACTTTTTTGACATTTTTGTAAGTAGTAAATTAGAAAATATGTATGTAAAAAGGATAAAAATAAATAAATTTTCTCAGGATGTAATTCCTCACTTCATTAACAAAAGAAATTCACTGGAGAAAATGTCCAAAGCTTTTGTTTTAAAAAGAATTTCCTGTGTTGAGGGATAACAATAATAACAAACACATAGGAGCCATTGATCCATCGGGAGCAGAATGACCAATGTCCATAAACGCTTTGTAATAAATTTAAATTAATGTTCTTAAATGTTCCAGATCATTACTGTCCTGAGAGAACTCCTGCTCAGTTTTCAATGAGGAAACAATGCTTAATCTTTAAAAAGTCTCAGTTTAATAAAAACATTTTCTCTCTCACTTCTTTGTGTATTGGAACCTCCTTATAGAACCTGTTTAGATGCTTCATAATTGCACTGCTGTCTTTTGAACACGGTGCATACCTTCTGTGTTTCCTGTTGGTCTAAGAGTAAAACTGGACTCTGGCTCCAAATTAAGCAGCTGACAAAATTGCTGCACGTCCTCCGCTGTGTTACAAGGGCGCATCATCACCACATCACCAGCACAAAACCTACGAGATAATAGAATAAGATTAAAACTCTGGAGCTATGATTGCACTTGGTATGATGATGATGATGATGATCGGAGAAAGCACCTTCACTGCACATGTAATTAACCAAATGAAGTGAAATGTTGCAGGATGCACTCACTCAATGTTGGACCCACTGATATCAAAGTCAAACAGCCGCACATCCTGGAAGTGCGACACATCAGTCACTCTTGTATTGGACAGAAGTCTTGCAGGAAAAGGACATAATGAAGAAGGCACAGTCTGTTCCGTAGGAGGTGCTTGCTTTGCCACATCAGTGTCACCTTGCAGAAAGTCAAAAGTAAATGTCGGAGGAAGCCTATAGTGAGAAGAATCGATACTTGTTAAAATGGTTATTCAGGAATCTATGACATTTAAAATACTGCGATACTAACATTTCATCATCTTTTAGACAGGGCAGTGCTTTTAAAGAAGGATGCAGGGAATAAAACTTTTGCCAAAATGAATATAGCCAAGGATCTATCATTGCATCGGACCTGGAAATCAATAGATATGTAAGCTGCACATTCATAGCAATACATGTGCTGCAAAATACTCCTACCCAAGATCGTGTTGGTCGTCAGCCAGACCAACAGGAAGTAGAAGTGAGGCCCCGAGCTGCTGGAGGCGTTTATGAAGCTTTTTAGCCACGAAATTGAACCTATAATCCAGATGCATACAGAAAAGTCTACTTCTGTGTGAAAGTATTATTCCACAGCTGAGGTCAAACGTACTTTGGATATGAGGAATCTCCCAGCCCCAGCACAGCACAGTCCAGCTGACACAAGGAACCAGCAGGTAAGGACTTCCGAAAAATGAATCTCCAGAAATTCTGAAACAAAAGTATTTATTTAGTATTTTGGGAAGTGGCATACTAGATTTATTATTTTACTTAAAGCTGGGATACCCTATTCTTTTCTTCATAAATATTAAATTGTGTGCGTTTGTCCAAACAAAGAGTCAAGTCAAAGTAAGTGTATGTGTTAATAAATCAGATCACCCCATGTTCGTAGAAACTTCTATTATTAGAAAACGTGTTATCTTTAGAGTATTTATATGCTTTCAGCCCTGCTTTGGGTTGAAAGCTGATTGGCTGAGAGAGGGTGTCCACAATTTCTCACTTTTCTGTCTGAAACAGGGGAACTAGTTAGATAGATATTATTACATAGTTATGTCTTAGGTTAGATACTCCATCTTAAAATTACATATTTATACATTGGAATAAATGTGTACCCCAGAGTGCACCAGACACTGTCAATATAACAAGCTAAAAAGGTACAAGATCTTGCACTTGTTATTAAAAATTGTTTAAATGACAAGTGCAAGATCACTAAAGTGCTTTGTTGAGACTGACAACATCTTATGGAAAAGGGAAGAAGCTAGAAACATGGCTTTTCCAGAGTGGCCAGAGGAGTCAGTAATTAAGGAAGTAGTAATTGTTATTTACATAGTGGATTTTACCAACCAAGGTCACAGAAAACGCTTGACAATTATATGTATTCTTTAAAGCTTGATAATGTAAAACCTACCTTCATATTGTCCGGTGGGTCTCCCTGGCCAGCGGTGGCACATACAAACACAACTGTAGACTCTGAAATCAATGTGGCCTGTTTATTGCAAAAAGACAAGAGTAAATGACCGGTTGAAATGACTATGAAAGTAAAATAAAATTTACTTACAACATTGTATCCATCCAGGGGCAGGGTCCTGACCTGCAGTCGCCTCCTCTTGGCCTGTCGGGCGATCCTCTGGGCTGTGTCCTGAGCTGTCCCAGTCTGGCTCCCAAACAGGATCAGCAAACTTTGGTCTGACATCACTCAGCTGAAACAAAAACAAAAACACCCATGTAGATCTCAAAGCAATTCGGTTCTTTCACATGTATGTACTTCTCGCCTCTATCTCATTTCTAGTGGAGAGGAGGACCACCCTCACTCAGCCAATCAGCTTTCAGTATGTAAAAGATAACATGTTAAGATAAAGACTGCGTTTGTGTATGGTTTAAATGCTACTTTAACGAGACTTTCTGTTGAAACAAACATATATTGATGAACCCAAGAACACTTAGGTACTATAGCTTCAATCTAAAATATTATATAAAATAAATGTATCAATATTGTTATGACACCAAAAACGTTGGGAAAGTAGCATTGGACCTGGACAGAACTGCACAAACATCTCAATACAGACAGAAAAACCTACCCGTGGTGCTCCAGTCGTTTTATATACAATACTTAACCTCACAGCGTATCAACACTAGATTATTAGAACTCTGTCTTTAATAATAACCTTTAGATAGTGTCATTTACAATGGATCCGGTCCATGTACACATCCCTTACACTTTACGGCAGCTTGTGTGGCCTGTGATTGGTGCGGCAGTGGTGCGTTCAAAGACCTTATAAAAATAGAAATTCACAAACCAATTCTTATATGTAGTTAGTGGTTTAATCACACTGAGACTTGCATATACTTCAGCGACTTGTGTATATTATATAAGAGCACTTTTAGATATTAAGATGGAGTTGTATTAGCTGAAATATAGCCATTGGTAGAAACATGCAGTGTTAAAGTACAGCCATTATTAATGACAAGCCACAAACAACACACATAGCCCATTACATTGACTGAAAATGGGAGACCGAAAATCTATAAAACTAATATATTGGAGAGTTTAAACACTTCTCTCTCATGGCTGTAACTCCTGCACATAATCATACAAAGACAAACAAAGCAAAGAAAGATTAGGTGTATTCAACATAAAAACAATAGTAATTGCAAAGACTGGTGAAATAATATATTTAGGATATTCGCCATACATTACTTATGGAAACAGTATCAAGTCCAGAGTTAGTTTTTGTTCTCAAACCGTTTTAAGATAAAGAGCAACTTTTAAACACAAATGTACAATAAACATTTACTATATAACTTCACACATATATTACACTGCTGCAGTCTTTGGTGAGCACTAATAAAACTGACTCATAAAAGGCACTCATTTAGGTTATTCACTAAACAGAGTACAGACACGATGGAATAGGTTCTAAAATATGATACAAATAAAAAAGGATAGATGTAAGTGACATCTTATGATATATTATGCATATAGCAAAGTGACCAGCAAATACAGTATGAGGAGCCCATTTCAGCTGTGGAACAGACGGATCCTCTGAGAAATGGCAGCTCGACACATGGGGCAGTTCTGAAGGGCATCACTGCACACCTGACAGCAACACACATGTCCACACGGCAGGAAGATCAGCTGAGACTGGGGGTAAACAAAAACATTTCAAAAAAGGTTTAATTTATACTCACAGACGCAGCATATTTCTCAAACTATCAGCACTTAGAAAAAGAGCCTTACCCCTGTCTCCATGCACACAACGCACTCGGAGCTCCCAGGCCCGTCCAATGGGCTCGGGGCTGAGGGTGTGACCGGGGTGCCAGGGGTGGTAGGGGTTAGAGGTGGACTGGGATGGGCTGGAGATCTGTGTGAGAGCAAAGGGGAAGGGACGATCGGAGCAGACGGTCCTGCATCTTCACCTTCTGTCTCAGCGGTTTTACAGGCTCCTGAGAGTAGAGTCACAAAGATTTAACATGAATCTTTGGGTTGATGCATATTGTTATGTTTGAGAGTGTTGTATAATTCAAAGATTTCAGCAGCCGGTTCATGAAGCGTCTATGTACTTTCTCTCATACATTCAATAAAAAACCAAACCATACATTCAATGTTGGACCAAAACGCTTAAGGGTGCATTCAGATTAGAAAAAGGCCATGTCTGCTTCAATATATCTTTTAACAAGCAGGACACATGAAGGAAACAAAGACGATAAAGTTAACAATCGGATCGGAAGAAAAGGGACAACATTTTCACCTATTTTCACACTGCATTTAAGTCATCATAGTGTAGAGAACAATTACTCAAATCATTTAGATATCAAATTCCCATATATACTTTTTCACGTAAAAAAATAAATAAAAAAATATATAAAAAAATATATATATTATTGTTTCTTTGCACAGTACATCTCAAGCACCATATTAGACACACTTGCTGTGGTCCTTTCTCTCATTATGCCAAACAAGAACAATATATAGAATAGAATAATGACAAAAATAATATTAATAAATAAATAAAATGGGCATGGGTTTTATATTTTGTCTACAGCCAGTGCACATGTTTGTTTCAGTGCTGTACCTTGAGGATAGACTTCTCGAGCCCATTTTAATAGAGCTTTCTGGATGCCCACTTCATTAATGCCAAGCTGCAAACAAAAAGACAACAAGATACTATTTAACTTGTTTTCCTGTTTGTACTTCTACTTTTTTATGTATCAGGTAAAAGCACCTTTTTTAGATCAGCAGATGTCATTTGTCTGAGGGCTTTTGTTGTTACCCGATGATGAGCCAGAATAGGCAGATAATGCTGGACTGAAAGTCTGCATAAGAGATTCACCAGCTCCAGCTCCACTCCAGCTTCCTGCAATAAGTTAAAGAATGAGTTATTAAGTGATCCTTTTATTCGTCCCACAGCGGGGGAATGTCAGCGTTGCATCACCAGTTACAGAACAGTAGGAATGAGGAGCACACAGCACAAGATTAATGAACAATAACTCTATCCTATATGAAATAAAAATAAAAATGTCTAAATCTAGCATGAAGAAGAAACAAGTGTACAATCTCTATATTTAGCATGAGTACAAAAACTCTGAGTTTAGCAAAATGAAGAAGTACAAAATCTCTACCTTTGCAAAATAAGAAGCAAGTATAGTGTATTGTGTATTCTAGTGCAAGTAATATGTACAGATGTAAACATAAAACTATATGTTAGCAGCATGAGGTATGAGACAAAGTGAAGCAGTAGAGCAAAAGTGACACATATTGTTTTATATTGCACATTCTGACATTATTAAAGTTATTATTGCACAGGTGAGTGTGTAAAGTAAAGAATGAGTTTCGCTGCAGTGCTTCAACAGCTCATAACTGCGTCAATACACACAGGTCTGAGCTCTCACAGACTTTTCACATGCAGCTATGGCCACAGACAGCAATGAAAATATATTTTTGTTGGATTCTGCATGTTCTCCCGCCTCACCTGCATCCGGAGAGACATGGGCTTTGCATCTAGAAGTCGCTGATACTGAATCATCCAATAGTTCTGCTGACTGGACTCAGACTTCAGCTCGAGCTCCACCTAAGACACAGTTCACAGGAGATGTATTCATGTTTAGATTCACTTGAACGTGATTGATCTGAAGATGAACAAGGGCAAGTGCACACAAAGAGTTTTTTTAAGAGTTTTTCCTTGTCGATGCAGGAGGGTCTTGTTGGACAGTTAGTGTCCAACAGAAAGGATTGGTGATGATCAGGACACTTTAGCATTCTACAACATGTATGGACATTTTCTTCTGTGTGTGCTTTATATTCTCCATGTGTTTTAACTGTTGATTCTCTGACCTGTGTTGGTGATTTCAATGGTTTTGTTAAGTCCTCTGAGATGACTTCTGTTGTGACCTAGGGCTATACAAGAATAAATTGTATTGTATTGTATTGTAAAGTCTCACCAGAATCTGCTGCAGCTCCTGCTCTCTTTGGCGTCTTTGTTTGAGAAGTTGCTGTAGTAAGTCACCAAGAGCTTCACGCTGCTGTACCAACACTTCCTACACAAAAGACAAACCTCTTTACTAAACTCAGGTGCTGCCACTTACGAATACATGTTTTATTTTTGGTGTATTTTCCAAACTCACTCCCTGCTCACTCTGCACATTCAATTTGCATCTTCCATATGTTCAGTGGGTTAAGAAGTGTTTTGCTACATTATTATGATGGACAAATACAATACCGTTTGTATCTATTCCATCCCATCTGGTCTACTGATTGACATAACACACTATTTATATAACACCATTGCACAGAATGGAGACCAATGACATCCAACATCCATTCATGGACTCGGAATTGGGAACAGGAACTGGTTTCAGAAAAGTACCATATAGTAGATTCTTTCACATACAGCATTTGGTTTTGAGAGCAATGACATGAAATTAAAATAAATGTAAAATTGGGGAGGCAAATAAAAGGGAACGACACCAACCTGTAAACTCTCTGCATCCAGATTACGTCTTTTAACCTCCAGTTTAGTCAGCTGCATTAACTCTGCCTCGATGATGTTAATCTAGGGACAGTGGAGATACAGCCATTATGAAGCAGGGAAGTGGAAGGCAGGAAGGCCATGAAAAAAATAAAGGTTTTTAAAAAGCAAAATGAATATTAGTAAGGGCAAATGACTCTTGGGCTGCAATTGATTGAAGAAATTGTTGGTCCCAGGAAGAACCAGGAAGTGTGATCAGTGGCTCATGGAATAGACTTTAAAACAACTCTGCTCAATGGTCTCGCACCGAAGTACATCTGTGATGTGAGGAGGTCAGTATTTCAGGTTTATGCAGCACTAAAGCTTGTCATGTACAATTTCTGAATGTTTAGCATTTGTATTACTGTACTGTGATTATTTATAGTAAAGTTTGTGTTGCCTTTAATATGAACTGTCGCTTGTACTATATAAATAAACTTGTACAGCTCGACTAAAAAAACTCTCAAACTGGCCTCATAAGACTTCAAACTTTGAAAATGCAAGCACGCATGAAAGCACTTAAAAACAAAGTCGCTGTTAATAAATTACACTCTGAACAGAGAATTTGATATGACTATATCTGAGCACATCCTTAACTAATTTTATGCACCTCCTGATGTTTGCGTTTTCCACAGAGGAATTCATTTAAATAGAATATTTAGTTCAAAAATGAAAATGTTGGTTGACTAAGACACCATCCACTAGCAGGACAAAGAAGCAAAGCAAAACTATTCATTCCAATTAGAAATAGGCGTTAACATTATAATATGTTGTAAACCGCTCATAGTCCTGGATGAAGGAGGATTAATGTTTGAATTGGATCTCACAAACCTGGTTACGTATGTAGCCATGCACACTGTCCTTTTGCAACTGTAATGCTTGAAACGCAGCCTTTTGCATCTCTTCCTGGAGAAACGTACAATAATTGATTAAAGGCAAAGATTAAAAAATGTGACACACTAAAAAGTAACTCTCTGTACCTCTTGTAATATCTGTGCGATAGCTTTAGATTTGTCCAAAACTTGCAGTGACAACATTTTGTCAAACTTTCGATCCATTGTCTCCATACTGAGAAACGCAAAAAAACATAACCTCCAGTTTTCATCTATAGTAGCTTTTCACAAAAATCATCTTAGTTAATACTTTACCTTCTATACGCCTCAGAGACAAGACTTTGCCTTCGAGAGTCACATTCTTTCTGCAGGAGACGCATAGTGTAGCTATCTGAAAGCATCTTCTGCATCGCCACTGAAACACACATAGGAAGGAAGTCATATTTATTTATTTATAAAGCACATTTCACAAACATTTCAGGTCACACAAAGCTCTTTAAAACACACAGTGATGACAGAAGTGAGACGCCAAACACCTCCGACATTACCATCCCTTCACTCCTTCTCCTCCCTATGTATGTCTGTGTGAATATATGAGTAAGTATTATGTGTTTTTGTATGTGTGTGCTTTCATTATACTTTATTATAATTTAAAGAATACAAATATTGAATAATAATAAGATTCAGTGCTAGTAATAGTTTGGTTTTTAAAACAGTTCAAAACTAACCTGCCACCTCCCGCTCTCTCAGTGAATTGGCTTCTTCTTGTGTGATAGCAGTTAAATGCTCCATACGAATCCTGAAAAAAGTATCACTTTTACTACTCACACTTTTTCATTACTCCTATATTTGCAGAGCAATTTTTGTGTGTATATGTCTATGCTCTTAACACATATTTATATCATGCCTTATCAATATTTCTTTAGTCTTTGTTATTTTAGTTTTATTTAGCTAGTCTAAGTGTAAGAAATGAGGGGAAACCTTCTCCTCTGTTGCTCACCTTTCCCTTTTCTTAAACATTACGACCAATTAAAACATTTCCCACAAGAATATGGAATGAAAATATTGTTATTGTGTGGGCCAAAAAGCGCTTACTTTTCATCAGTGGTAACAACCACACCCATATCAGCCTATTAGTCTACAATAACATTGCTCCTATTTTTTTGTCCAAATGTGACAGAACCTATCTTGTCCAGAAAGACAAATCAGAAAAGAGAATATACAAATCCATGTTAAATAAAAGCAACCCTTAGGTCAAAATAATTCCAAGAGCTTCAAATAAACTTTTACAAGAAAACTTTGGTATAATAGTCAACACATTCCTGGTATAGACAACACAAACAGGACATGGTCTGCAGAGTTTGGGCTGCCCTGGTTTACACAGTAAACAGTGCACTCACCGCTCCTCTTCCATGGCTTGGAGAAACTCTGCACTCTTCTTTTGTCTGCACATAGTCAGTGAAACTGTAAATAACTTCAAATCATCTCGTGTCCAAATAATGACTGTCTCACCGATTGTTGTCAGTGAGCATGTTGTCAATGCGGGTGGTGATGTCGTCCTCAGCCTGTCGAACCCTCTCCAACACCAGCAGCCGATCTGCTTCCTGGGCCTTCTGCTGCTGAGTGAGGCCTTCCTCTATCCTCTCCTGTTCCTGAACATCAAAGAACAGCTTTGTATTCACCATTTTAACATCATTTATAATCATTTGTTTTATATTTTATGCACCTTTCGCACTGAGTTGAGAATGTTTTCTTTGAAAGAATTGTTCAGTAATAAAAGCTGCGTATGCTCCTTATGCTTTTCCTCCAGTTGCTGCTCAAACACCAGCTTCTCCATATGCTTTTGCTCCTAGTCAGGGACAGAGACAAGTTACCAACCAACAAATCCTTCAACCAACAAATCATTCATGAGTTCCTTACTTTTCGTTTCTCATAGTCACTAAATTTCATCTATATTAAACAGAAAAATAAGGTAAATACAATTTCCAATATGACACAAGAGTTGGTCGTGGTGGTAGAAAGGCACACCTGCCAGGCCTCTTCCTGGCCATCCAAGCAATCGGTGTTGTCTTTGATAGTGTCGTTCTCCAACACTGGCAGCAGGTACTGAGAAGGGGGGCAGTACTCTTCTCCCAGCTCTGTGTAATTAAATAACATCATTACAGAAACTATGAACATAATGATTGAATTCATGAAAGCATAGAAACCAAGGAAGCTAACCAGAGCAGAGGAAGCGCTGAATAGACTCTGTCCCATCTCTGCACACAGAGTCCGGTGGGTAAACCATCTGACCCGCATCAAGAGTAAAGCTCTGCAGAGAAAGAATACACTAAGCTATAATAAAAGCAGATATGAAACAGCATGATACATGGAAATGTTTGTCAAACAACTAACCTCCAAAGTTCTTATGTGCGCTACTCTTTTGGGCAGTTGGGTGATTTGATTATCGCTGACGTCTAAAGTGCGCAGGCTGCTCAGAGAACCCACAGAAGAGGGCAGCTCACTCAGAAGGTTGCCTGTTCAAAACACACCACGTTAACTTCTGCTTATTTCGTCAGATTGTACTGAACTCCCTTTTTGTACCCTTCAAGTTTAGGGTCTGCAGGAACCGTAGATCACCAATGGACTCTGGCAGCATCTTTATATGGTTCTTTTCGAGATTTAATATCTAAAAACAAAAGCAACTTCTGAAAACTGGGCATAATTTAAGCTCAAAGGACACTCACCAAGTCTAAATGTACCTGAAGATGTGTTAGTTTTCCAATGTCATCAGGGAGGGATGAAAGCTTATTTTCATGCAGGTCCAACACCTTGAAAAAGACAATACATATAAACCAAAATTATTATCATTATTATTATTACATACACACAGAGTTGACAATAAATAAAAATCCACATGAACAATGACTAAAGTGGTTTACCTTCAGAGTGACTAAAGTAGTGAGGTCACAACCTTTGGGAACCAAAGACTTTAATTCGTTGCTGTGAACAATCAAAACCTATTACGAAATAACAACTTTTCAGAATTCCTAATGTACTTGTTTATTTAAATGTGCATTACCTTGGTAGCTTACCTTTTTCTGTAAGTGCTTACAATTGGAAAACACACTGGAAGGAATCTGTGACAAAAGAGATTTGGATTAAAGAAAAAACTTTATATAATCTAGATATATGATTAAATGCTTTCTTTAAAAAATGCACTTGCGATTATTTCAACATTTAATAAAATATTATCAATCTCTCAAGTAATTCAATTGTTATCACTAACACGAATAATAATCATACTTTTATTAAAACGTGCATTTATCTAGAAACAGGTTTTCATACCAACCTCTGAAAGCTCACAAGAAGAGATATCCAATATGTCATCAGCACCAGCCTCCATGGACTGAAATAGGAGCAAATAAAACAACTGGCTTTAAGTATGTATTATTTCAGTTGAATAAAATACAATTGCACAATTAGGTTTCCTTACCCGACATAACAGATACTCCAGTCTCTTCTTGGCCTCATCACTGGGCTTCTTCTTCCTAAAGAACAGCGGCATCTTAATGGGACTCTCGGGGGTCGTACCTTGTCAAAACATTACATCAGATTAGATATTTACGATGAAAGTCATTATGTTGGCTTAAAAAAAACTAAATCATGATCTGGGTTTTGAATTGAGATACACGTTTTTTTTTATAGGACTACGATTGATGTGATGACAAGGGAGGAGTGAGGGAGGAGTGAGGAGAGAGGAGTTCCAGTAAATGACATAGCAGAAGGCTATGGCTATAGCTTTACAAAACACATAATGTATTACAACACACAGCTAAAGAGTTCAATACAACATTGTGAATAACATTTAATGAACATCAACAAACAGAATAATAAATCTCCACAACAATGCTAGGATAATGTTAACCTAGGTTACATGTGTTAGGAACAGTATGGCATATACCTAAAATCTTAGGGCCTATTATCATGTAATACAATGATATCAGGGGACTACACTCCCGTTATAACTGTTTCAATGGATTTTGTCGGTTAATATTTTGAATGATTAACGTTAGCTTCTTGCTAACAGTTAAGTTATGATCAGCATGAACCATCCCTCTCTGTACCCAACCTAGCTTAATACTACACCAAATATTAGGTTTAGCTGAGTACTGTACAAATACAGAACAAGGACTTAGTTAATTACAGAAAAACACCGTAAACTATAGTGTTTAGAGTTACATCGAAGCCCCGTGAAAACCTGAGCAAGACACGACAGCGGCCTCTGTTAACAAACGACCCACCTCCGACTGTGAACGCGCCGGTGTCCTGTGCCTTCAGCTGTGGCCGTGTTCATGGACACTACAGCTTATGGTTATGATGCAGTCACGCCTCTGTCATCATAACAAATGTCCGCACTTTCTTCTCCCAAACAGCAGGAGATAACCACAAGACGCGCTCTCTGGTGCCTCCTACTGGAGGACGTTGCACACATCAGCCTCTTTCCCATGCTGATCCATGTGTCCCACAGACATCTGCCCACAGACTGCTGCCCACAGACTGCTGCCCACAGACTGCTGCCCATAGACTGCTGCCCACAGACTGCTGCCCATAGACTGCTGCCCACAGACATCTGCCCACAGACTGCTGCCCATAGACTGCTGCCCATAGACTGCTGCCCATAGACTGCTGCCCACAGACTGCTGCCCACAGACTGCTGCCCATAGACTGCTGCCCACAGACTGCTGCCCATAGACTGCTGCCCATAGACTGTTGACCATAGACTGTTGACCACAGACTGCTGCCCACAGACTGCTGCCCATAGACTGCTGCCCATAGACTGCTGCCCACAGACTGCTGCCCATAGACTGTTGACCATAGACTGTTGACCACAGACTGCTGCCCACAGACTGCTGCCCATAGACTGCTGCCCACAGACTGCTGCCCATAGACTGCTGCCCATAGACTGTTGACCACAGACTGCTGCCCACAGACTGCTGCCCATAGACTGCTGCCCACAGACTGCTGCCCACAGACTGCTGCCCATAGACTGCTGCCCACAGACTGCTGCCCATAGACTGCTGCCCATAGACTGTTGACCACAGACTGCTGCCCATAGACTGCTGACCATAGACTGTTGACCACAGACTGCTGCCCATAGACTGCTGACCATAGAAATTTGCCCACAGACATCTGCCCACAGACTGCTGCTATGGATCTATTATAATATCGACTGCTTCCCACAGACTGCCAGCAGCGCCGAGATCCCTGAGTGGTAAATGGCTAACCAATGTTTTGGCCACCACAAGGGGGCACCTCGAAGTGGCCAAAACTGTGGCTACCGCACTTTTTGCCACAGTTTTGACGCACTTTTTGCCATTTTGGAGACGCACTTTTCTGCTGCAACCCTCGAGAGCGAGTTCATCCAAAAGTCCAGCGCAATCAGCATGAGCACTGCAACAACTCGGAGTGCCATTATAACATCTCACGTTTTACTGAAGAAAATATGGTTCCCTGAAAATGTTTGTAAAAAGTTGTAACCTGTGTGATATTTTCAGATTTTCTTTCAATTCTAATTGCTATAGTTGTATGGACAATTTGTCAAAAACGGCAAAACAGAGCAGTAGTGCATGACACTATGTGATAATTAAAAACAAAAACAGTTAAATAGTTAAAACATCACATGCGATGTCATCATGCCTGCAGTGTGTAGGATTGTACACCAGAGGTCACTGTACGACAAGCAAAAGAGGTGTCAAAAATAAATACGTTATTTCAGGTTTTTCACCATATTTTATGACGCTTTACGATTTTGAATTTGCTGTAAATGTGTTTTGGTTTTGGGAAAATGTATGAGGAAGCATGAGGTTAGTCGTAAACAATTGGCCAATCCAATATGAAAATATTTGGTCTTCGTTTAACAGATAATACTGGACTCAGGTTTTTTGCTGTCCTACAAATATATCATCACGAACAAGGTAATTACAAGGTGATAGTACCCAGTGAAAGACCATATTTGTCGTTTTTTTTATTTTATATTTTACCAAATGTAAGCAACCAAAGTTCCTTTTGTCAATGTAATGATGAAAGTATTGACCACTTGTTCGTTTAATGTTCTATAATAAATTATGGTCCAATCTGTAGAAATACTTGACTGGAATATTCAGGAAAAAGTTATAATATCCATATTTCTAATTTGACTAATAATTTAATTCCGTGCAAAATACTACATTCATAAATGAAATTCAGTGAAAAAATGTAAAATAAGAATTTATTAAACCAATCACATTGATAAAAATAAATACAAAATTAGTTGATTGTCAGACCTCTGTTTGTAAGTATATGTATTATGTTCTTTATTTTTAAATATTTCTAATATTTCTCCGTATTGGTATTTTTATATACAATCATTACAAGATCGTATTGTTGAAAAATTTATTTTTTGGACACTTTGAATGAATAAAAAAAAAAAAAAAAACTTCTTGAACCAGAGGGCTCCACCCACTGGTCATAAGCCACGCCCTCACACAACGTCACGTGTCGGAGCGCATTTCAGACCCTCTCAGCGCTCCCCCACTCCCGCACTCACAATCCATGTCTCACACTGACGCGCAGTTCCAGGTCCTGTGACTTACGTGCGTGAGGACTCAAGGGGGAGACGTAAATGGAAGAAGAGAAGAGATCTGAGGAAACCTGCGCAGCCTCACAAAACTTTCAGTCTCCTGATCAGTCTATCTACGCTTCATTTCTGTTTGCTATCCGAGGATAAAATCATCGTGAACGCAGCGTGTGGTTGTCTGCAAAAGGTGAGTTCTTTCAATCCCCTTCATCGTGGTGCAAGAATGTGAAACTGTTCGTGACATAGATATGTACTTCTATGGTTTGGGAACTTCATGGTGCCCTGTGCCGTGTGGTTAACTTTGTACAGTCTCGTCTTGTGGATCGTAGCTCTCAACATTTTTTCTCTTCTAGAAGTTAGCCCCGTGCATGGGAATCACATGAACAACAAGGAGTACAACACTTTATCTGTATAACACTTTATCTGTATTTAACCATATCCATTATAATTCAATAATGACACCCGTATCTTTTGTGAACTTGTTTAGCCTGACGTGACCTCCACCACCGCTCATCTGTGGAGCTGCTGTTTTTTTTTTTACAACAGAACAAACAGGTGCAAAAAGACACAGCTTCTCTGGTCCTCAGTCTGTTCATAGATCTATTATTTTGTACATGATTGGCTCTTGAGATTTTGGCCATAGTTTAGGGAGAATAAAGTGACCATTTACTTATTTTGGATCTAAGCAAGATCTTCACATCGTGGTATGTTATTTTTATGATGTCAACTATTGATCGAGGGTTTGTATTTCATTAAACTTCAATGCTCTCTGTATTTCAACTGTTCCGCAACACTGACATTTGCAGACTGTGGAACATAAAGGCTTTCTCTTATGTTTTAGCTTTTCTATTTGTTTAGATTTTTTAAAATGAATATAGAATAGATAATTGGATCTCACGCAAAGTTGGTATTTATGGGTTTATCAGGTTTTTATGTCCATGTTTAGGACATTTTCAAATCAATCACACATCATAATTGTCGTTTTCATCACTCACATAAAACATAGCCCCTAGTAATCTAGTCGTGCTTCCTCTATATGTGTAATTACAATACACTGTCTTGGTTTAAATGAAAACTTGCTTGTTTTAAAAACTGAATAATAAAGTGTTGAGTCTTTTGTAATGCAAAAACACCAATGTAAGGTCACACTAAATGTTCAAATGTGTCCTGCTGAACACTGGTAGAATACAGGCGGTATTGTGCAGTGCTGCTCCATTAATTGATTTCACGGCTGCCCAAAGGAATCTGGCACTAAATGAAAGAGATAGGAGTTCACACAAGACATCTTGTGTTCTGAGACAAAAGTAGCCAAAGCTTGCTCATCTGACAAAATGACTTCTCTCATTCTGATCTTGACAGAGAGGTTTGAGGTTGAGAGCTGTGATCTACGAACTGCTGCTTTGTTTGGTGTCTGTGTCACGGCAGCTGTCCAGAGTTATAGCTTTTCATATACATCAAATCGAATCAGAAGAACTGAATGTCACTTTTGGTTTAGTGTGTAATTACAACATTGTTTTCTCATCATGGTTTACAATATGATTTATGGATCCTGGATTAATATTTTAGTTTCTGCCCTCTGCCTTAGTTTTTTTTTTTGCATTTAGTGTTTGTGTGAGTTTGGCAATCCCCCTGTCTCTGGAGCCCTGGCCTGTGACCACTGGCCCTTCCACTCCAGGCCCTCATTGGAGGAGTCTCTCTACACCTGGCCAATCCCTAGTTCTCACCTGGCTCCTCCCCCTATATTGCTGTGGCACTGACTTTGGGTAAAGAGTTGTCACTTCGCTTTTGTTGGGGTGGCGCTTTTGATTCACAACCTTTTAGTTTGGTGTTAGTCTAGTTCGTCTTAGTTTTTTAGTTTGGTAACATTTAGTTACCCACTTTATATTTGGAGCCGTTGGTTTTTTTTTTTTTTTTTCATAATTTGCATTTCTGTTCATTAAATTACTTACCATTTTTGTTGCCTCTCACAGAGCTGGGTTGTAAAAATGTTTTTAACCAGTTGGCACTTGAACATAGGAACTTCTGAGGGAAAACTGAAGTTCGTGACTCAAGGGTCTAAATACTTATAAACAGCTAAATGTGTTGGTGAGTTTGGTAAGTACCCTGTCTGAAAGACTAGTGCGAGGCTGAATAAGCCCGCACTAATGGGGTTGGAGGGTCCCTGTGCATGTGGCTGCTGCTGGTTTAATGTAGCCTAGAGCTTCTTAACATGGTGTTCCTGTGGCTGATTAGAGCCAGGTGTCTACTCCACAAAATGAGGGTATTGAGGGCAGCCTGCTTCACTGCAGAGGACCAGCTGCTGCAATCTCAAATAATCTTGTGGGAAGGATAGTCGTAAAGCCCAACATGCCCTTGCTGAAATGAGACGCTCTGGAGGACAAATTGTGCTGCTGTTGCTCATTTAGAAAATGAAATCTACCCCTGCAATTATTTTATGTTGTTGTTACTGGCTAATTATAAATCATGTGAGAGGCTGAAAAGACTGCTGCTGACTCACAGCACACACACACATACCGCTATACGCACTCAAACCCAATATACTTTCCAGCTGTGGATAAAATACACAAGTTCTTTTTTGTAAAGGAAAGATGAACACACCTGATACTGAATAGGGAAAGTTGTTCTAGTTAAAGGGCTTCAAATGTACATTTTAATCCTAATCTATTATGTGTTGGCTGCAGAAACAGAGCAGTCTTTATATCTTTTCGAGTAAACTGCATGACTTCAAAGGGCATCCTCGAGGGACATGTGATCAAGTTAGGACATTGACTTAAAAGACTGCATCTCCGTGTGCGTGCACGGTTTTGTTTGGCTTGGACCATGTTTAAGGCTGAGTTTTAAACAGCAGTTCTTTTATGAGTGCCTTAATTTTATGCACATTTGATTTCCTCCTGAGGTATCCGTGTTTTGAAAGTGAACAGTGCTTTCCCTCATTCCAGCGCCAATTCATTCAACAGAAACAAGATGGATTATTTAAAGGGTGCATTACATTTGGGAAAACTAAGATAATTTATAATGTTTGCATTGTTCTTTTAAAAAAACATCTTAGGAACTATATGTTTCAGGAAATGGGTGCAGATGTGCCACTTTAACCTCTTGGTTCTACAGGAAGCAGTAAAATGCTAATGTCTGTATCATACAATTAAAAATGTCCGTCCATCCATCCATCCATTTCTTCTCATAGCACCAGCCCCTCACTGACCCTCTGCAGGTGGTGAGTCCACAGGAGGACGGCTGCTCTCTGAGGTGAGAGCATAGCCTTGATCTTTCAGTGGGGGCTTTGGGCAAAGTGGGGTTAAGTGTCTTGCCCAAGGACACAACAACAGCAGTCATCAGTGGGAGTTGGTGGAGAAGGTGTAGAGGTGGGAATTGAACCCACGACCTTCAGGCCTGATGGCCAATGCTCTACCAACTGAGCTACTGTCGCCAATGTCCTTCTAATGACTACAAAACAAGATAAACGCTTGTTTATTATTTTCCTAATGAATTGTGTGCAGGTTGCTATGGTGAACAGCCGTGTGGAGGTGCCCGCGGTGGCGATGATGGGCAGTGGCAGTGGGGCAGCGTGCAGGTCATGTGCTGGATGTGGGGGCCTCATCTCGGACAGGTTCCTGCTGTTTTCAATGGAGCGATACTGGCACACACGCTGTCTCAAGTGCTCCTGCTGCCAGGCCCAGCTGGGGGAGTACAGCAGCACCTGCTACAGCAAAGGAGGCATGATCCTCTGCAAGAACGACTATGTCAGGTATTATCTTTGGAAATGTCTGCTTTCTCGACTTCAAAACATATAATGTAGGGGACATTCTCAGTCTGTAATCAATACAAGGCTGCCTCAAACCACCATGAGGCACTGAAACTGGGAACCTAGGAGGCTATAGGGTCCCAGAATGAAAATGTATTCAAAAAAAGTTAGTGTACAGAAACCAGAAGTTAGTTTCACTGTAACGTTCCTCATGATTTTTGTATGAAAATAAACTGGTTAAACATTGCTTTAACAAACTGATTAATTGACATGACAGTTATCAAGCGGTAGGCGGTGGCCAAATTACTTCTCTGTTCATGGGTTTAGCAAAAAGCACTTCATTAATTTCCAAAAAAAATCTAGTTTTTTTAGTAACTAGTAAAGGGAGACAAAGCAGACAACAGCGAGGGAAACATGCATTTGGAGTTCATTAACCAGAAGGAGATGTGACCTGAGCCGACTGGATACAGAACCTGTTCTATATGTTGCTCACAGAGTGCTGTGGTCCATCCTGGTTTCAGTTTTGATGTAGCCAATTTTGTTCTGATATGAGTAGATTTGGCAAAAGCGCTGTTTGGCACGTGTGTGTCTGTATGCATGTGTGTGTCTGTATGCACGTGTGTGTCTGTATGCACGTGTGTGTCTGTATGCACGTGTGTGTCTGTATGCACGTGTGTGTCTGTATGCACGTGTGTGTCTATGCACGTGTGTGTCTGTATGCATGTGCGCAGGTGATTGATGTGTTACTCTACAGTGTCTCTTTTGCATTGAGGATTTACAGATCAAATTCTAAGAATTTATATTGGAATTTTGTTGTTATTATTGTAATTTAGAAGTTACTTTGGTGGTAATTTCTTACTTTTATTAAGACTGTTACTGAGTAAAATACTTGTAATTAGTAAGATGAGCAACATTGCCAATCATCCAAGCCATTTCAGGTGGTTACCCTTGATGTGAAAGAGCAGCAACTCTACTATGAGCTCCTTTCATTGTTACTAGATTCCAGCGAGTTCTAAGGTTTAAAATGACATTGAAATGTGTACATTGTCGGCCGATGACATTAGTAACTTTTGTGAGAAACCGCGCACAAGGTACACAAAGAATACTAAAAGTTAAAAATGTTTTTAAAAAGTACAGAACTGTACAGTGATTTGACTCTGTCATCTACTTGTCATTCAGTAGATGGTTTTTAGTCCAATTTCACAACGTTGCTGGTTTCAGATGTCTGGTGAAGATGTGCAAGTCAGTTTGCAGTTTTAAGTCTGGCTCCATTGAATGATAAGATGAGCTGTGCAAAAGATGTTCTGAACAAAGGAATCGTAGTGAGGCTCTTGTGTTTGGTGACAGATTTTGTGACAACATTCAGACGTTTCCAGCTGTTATATGAAACGTGCAAACCCATGGATAAATGCCCATTATATGGGGGCTTGACAGGATAGGATTTTATCTATTATAACTTATGTTTTGTCAATATTAAGGGTCTTATTGCCATATACACTTTTAATCCAATGTGAAAGAATTAACTTTTAGAGCAAAAAATCTAGTTTTGTCAGATATACAAGCTTTGTATTTCTAATTTTAAAAAAGTGTACTTTTATCTAGTCTGACCAGAAGCCTTTGGCAGGGCACTCGTAGCCACAGTTCAAGGCCTCAGGTTGTCACACTTTTTGCAGCAGGACGATGAGATGTAAGTGAGCCTAGGGAGGAGAGTGTGTGGGTTAATTAAAGAGAACAGGGATCCTCTCAGGCGTGCTCATTAAATGACTGTTTGGATTAAGATAAAAAATTCATTAGTGTGTGCAGTCATTGAGAGATGCTAGGAGAGCACTCTGTCTGAGTTAAGTGTCACACAGCATCAGTTGCACAAGAGCCTGTAATGATGACTGAGGCTTTCTATTAAAACTTAAAGCTGCTCTAGGTCAGGTACAAACATGTGCACACTCTAATTAATGTGGACTCACTGCTGCTGCGTGGAGGCTAAGTAATGTGTCGGTCATTACATCTAATTGTTAAAAGCACCGTATCACTTTGCCCGAGCAGTCAGACTAACCCTGTGTAAATAATGCACACAACCTTGAGACACCAGGTCACTGCTAATCTACACAGATGAGGTTTGCGCCAAATTTTCCTAGAAACTAAAATGGACATCGCAACAATAAAACATGTATTCCAGTAAAAGATTAGAGGATCTTCCATTATTTGAAATTATATTAATATTATTTTTTTTAAATGCTTTATTCACTTCTTTTAAAGCTTTAAATGAAGTGGACGACTTCACGTTATTACTTACTAGTATTATTATTAGGCCGAGCCAATACGAAGTATTGGGGAGGCCTATTGTTATTCACCGGTTTCATATTATTAGGCCGAGCCAATACGAAGTATTGGGGAGGCCTATTGTTATTCACCGGTTTCATATTATTCGTTTTTTTCCGCATCTTCAATTCGATTTTTGACCCTGAAGACATGCACGAAAGTCTGCACATGGGGGGTCTAAAACGACCGGTCCGGCGAAAAATTTGATAAAATGAACGTTTCCAGATTGTCCGACGCTCGCCGACTCTATAACGCCCCCTAGAAATTTCATTTTTTTTGACCCTCTGGGGATTTTTTTTCAAATATTGGAGTAGGTACACGAAATTCGGATGAGTGATAGATCTCTATGAGACGAGCATAAAAGCCGTTCTAAGCACATGTCTGGGACCGACAGGAAGTCGGCCATGAGGGGCCGAAGTTTCGCCACTAATTTGACTTTTCATTTATAAATTCGAACTAGTCCCTGGTTTTTCATCACACAGAGTTCTACCACGTCATTTCCCGCTCTGGACGGATTGAAGTTATATAATCATCAAACAAAAGTTAGAAAATCTTCACCGTTTTCGTCCCTCGCCATGGCGAATAAGGCCTTTGTTTTGGCCATTTTCGCTGAGCCCTGAGGGCCACAAGCTCAGACCTACAGAGCTGAGACTCACATCAGTAATATTAAGTTATGGCCTGAACGCAATGACACTAAAATCATTCGCCCAATATGAGCTCTTTAGCGCCACCTGTCGGAAAGTAATAGGGCACTAGTGCTCGGATCGGCCCGAAAATCGCTGAGTGTATTCTCTGGACCGAGACGAGCAAAACATTACATTACGCAAAAGTTGTAAGTCCTACACCTGACCACTGGGGGCGCCGTAAAGTGAATGAATGAGCTTTTTGGGGCAAAATGTTTGTCCGATGAGGCTAAAAATGAATTCAGAAATACAGCGTATGACCCTGAACACAACGATATGCAACACACAACTGTGAGTGCAACAGCGCCACCTACAGGCAGTTCAATGTGTTGCATTTTTGGCTTCGTACTAGTCCCTGGATTTTCATCGCACAGACTTCTACCATGTCATTTCTCCATCTGGACGGATTGAAGTTATGCAATCATCGCATAAAAGTTAGAATTTTGTTATCGTTTTCATGCGAGGTAGTGGGGAATTTCTCCATGTTTGATGCTCTCCTGACCACAGGCTCAGACCTACAGAGCTGAAACTCACATCGCTAACAGTTGGTAATGGCCTGAGAGTAATGGTGTGAAAACACACACCTAATATGACTCTACAGCGCCACCTATGGAAGGCTTCTGACCTAAACTTTTCCGATCTTCACCAAAGTTGCAAAATCAAATTTTTACATCTGTACGAGCAAAATACTACTCTACGTAGAGGGTGCATGTCCCGGAGGTGACCACTAGGGACGCACTTTATCATATAAATTAGCTTTTATATACGTAATCCTGGTCAGATCGGGCTGCCAATTCGTCTGCGTAACGCTTGTGGGACTGGCGCCCAGGAGGCGGTCGCAAGAGGGGCGAGGCCTTTCATCGCCGCTTGCGGCTTTAATTCTTATTTATTTTCCGCAACTTCAATTCGATTTTTGACCCTGAAGACATGCACGAAAGTCTGCACATGGGGGGTCTAAAACGACCGGTTCGGCGAAAAATTTGATAAAATGAACGTTTCCAGATTGTCCGACGCTCGCCGACTCTATAACGCCCCCTAGAAATTTCATTTTTTTGGACCCTCTGGGGATTTTTTTTCAAATTTTTGAGTAGGTATACGAAATTCGGATGAGTGATAGATCTCTATGAGACGAGCATAAAAGCCGGTCTAAGCACATGTCTGGGACCAACAGGAAGTCGGCCATGATGGGCCAAAGTTTCGCCACTAATTTGACTTTTCATTTAGAAATTCGAACTAGTCCCTGGTTTTTCATCACACACAGTTCTACCACGTCATTTCCCAATCTGGACGGATTGAAGTTATATAATCATCGAAAAAAAGTTAGAAAATCTTCACTGTTTTTGTCCCTCGCCATGGCGAATAAGGCCTTCGTTTTGGCCATTTTCGCTATTTTCGCTGAGCCCTGAGGGCCACAGGCTCAGACCTACAGAGCTGAGACTCACATCAGTAATATTAGGTTATGGCCTGAACGCAATGACACTAAAATCATTCGCCCAATTTGAGCTCTTTAGCGCCACCTGTCGGAAAGTAATAGGGCACTAGTGCTCGGATCGGCCCGAAAATCGCTGAGTGTATTTTCTGGACCGAGACGAGCAAAACATTACATTACGCAAAAGTTGTACGTCCCACACCTGACCACTGGGGGCGCCGTAAATTGAATAAATGAGCTTTTTTAGGGCAAAATGTTTATCCGATGAGGCTAAAAATGAATTCAGTAATACAGCGTATGACCCTGAACACAACGATATACAACACACAACTGTGAGTGCAACAGCGCCACCTACAGGCAGTTCAAGGTGTCGCATTTTTGGCTTCGTACTAGTCCCTGGATTTTCATCGCACAGACTTCTACCATGTCGTTTCTCCATCTGAACGGATTGAAGTTATGCAATCATCGCATAAAAGTTAGAATTTTGTTATCGTTTTCATGCGAGGTAGTGGGGAATTTCTCCATGTTTGATGCTCTCCTGACCACAGGCTCAGACCTACAGAGCCGAAACTCACATCGCTAACAGTTGGTAATGGCCTGAGTTTAATGGTGTGAAAACACACACCTAATATGACTCTACAGCGCCACCTATGTAAGGCTTCTGACCTAAACTTTTCCGATCTTCACCAAAGTTGCAAAATCAAATCTTTACATCTGTACGAGCAAAATATTACTCTACGTAGAGGGTGCATGTCCCGAAGGTGACCACTAGGGGCGCACTTTATCATATTAATGAGCTTTTATATTCGTAATCCTGGTCAGATTGGGCTGCCAATTCGTCGGCGTGACGCTTGTGGGACCGGCGCCCAGGAGGCGGTCGCAAGAGGGCGAGGCCTTTCATCGCCGCTTGCGGCTTTTTCTTTGTTCTTATTTTTTTTCCGCAACTTCAAATTCGATTTTTGACCCTGAAGACATGCACGAAAGTCTGCACATGGGGGGTCTAAAACGACCGGTTCGGCGAAAAATTTGATAAAATGAACGTTTCCAGATTGTCCGACGCTGCGCCGACTCATATAACGCCCCCTAGAAATTACATTTTTTTTGACCCTCTGGGGATTTTTTTTCAAATTTTGAGTAGGTATACGAAATTCGGATGAGTGATAGATCTCTATGAGACGAGCATAAAGCCGGTCTAAGCACATGTCTGGGACCAACAGGAAGTCGGCCATGATGGGCCAAAGTTTCGCCACTAATTTGACTTTTCATTTAGAAATTCGAACTAGTCCCTGGTTTTTCATCACACAGAGTTCTACCACGTAATTTCCTAATCTGGACGGATTGAAGTTATATAATCATCAAACAAAAGTTAGAAAATCTTCACCGTTTTCGTCCCTCGCCATGGCGAATAAGGCCTTCGTTTGGCCATTTTCGCTGAGCCCTGAGGGCCACAAGCTCAGACCTACAGAGCTGAGACTCACATCAGTAATATTAGGTTATGGCCTGAACGCAATGACACTAAAATCATTCGCCCAATATGAGCTCTTTAGCACCACCTGTCGGAAGTAATAGGGCACTAGTGCTCGGATCGGCCCGAAAATCGCTGAGTGTATTTTCTGGACCGAGACGAGCAAAACATTACATTACGCAAAAGTTGTAAGTCCCTACACCTCACCACCGGGGGCCGGAAAAATGAATGAAGAGCTTTTTGGGGCAAAAATGTTTGTCCGATGAGGCTAAAAATGAATTCAGTAATACAGCGTATGACCTGAACACAACGATATACAACACACGCGGAATAAACACTGGCACGCCGGCACCTCCGCATTATTCTCACTGTATCTGTCCTGTTTTAAAAATAAGAGCATCTCCCTCTTTGTCTGAGCGCTTTTTGGGGGCCGGCACTAGGACCCAGCGGACACCACTGCGGGGATAAGCTGCGTGCTTCACACACACACCGTGTGTAGCTGTGGGTGAAGCCAGGAGTCTGCAGCTGCAGGTGTATGCGAGATTTAAACTTATTTTTGCACATTCAAAGTAGTAACTGGTGTGCCATTCACTGCAGACGCCTCCTACAATCACTGTGACACGCTGTCAACACTGTGTGCGTGAAATCAAAGAGGGAACTGGTGAGTTTAAGCATTTTTGTGCTGCACAGAGCTAGAATGCTAGCGCTAGCCTCTGATGCGATGTTGAACTCGAATGTTGTTGTTCTCATGTTGATTCCCTGTGTAGCCGACTATGCCTTTTTATGTGCTCATGTATGGTTACCAGAGCATGAAATTTGCTTGTGTGCTCTTGAACCAAAAGTATTAATACATTTATTTTTGATATGTGCACTGAACTGAATGAATTGTATTGTGATTTATGGTGCAGAGGATTAATTGTGAATTATGAAGTGAGAATGAGCACTCTGATTATTGAGTATATATTTATTGTACATGTATTTTTGTAGTAGTGATATATTGCTAAATGAAACTGTTGGATATTTATATTGGTCCTGTCATGCAGGCCAGGTTCCTTGGATCCGTCCGTCCATATGGACTTCTTCTGATGGCGAGCTGCCCCAGGCCGAAAACCTAGAGATCGTCAACCCTACAGTGCGGTAGGAGGCGAGCAGTCTCCCTCATACAACACCACAAACTGAGACAATAACCTGAACTGGATTACTGCAAAGTACACGCTCCACCTTTTCAAACCAACCTGCCAAACCCAACTCAACCGGACTCTCTCACTCAAAACCCGTTCAATTATTTGTTGTAAATATTGTAAATATTGTGAATGTGGGGTGTGTGTGTGTGTGTGTGTGTAATCTATCCCCTGCCTTTGTAAATATCTATTAGAGGTGCAACGGTTCATCACTGATCCGTGATCTGTTCAGATCAACGTCTTCGGTTCGGTACAGACGTGATCCGCAGTTTGATTTATGAAAAAAAAGTTGTGCACTCCCACTATGTTGTTTAGTTCACACACAGCGTAATCATGGTGAGCGGAGGAACAGAGAAGCCTGTGTCATTTAAATCCCCGGTATGAGAGCATTTTGGCTTCACTGTAACTATACTGATGATTAAATAGTCAACAAAACAGTCACAGTGTAAATACTGTGGCACAAGACCGACCCTTTACGCACAGTCAGACCGGGCTAAAGTCAACTCTCCCGCGTATCCTCAGTTGCGCTCACAACTGACGCTTGGACGTCCCGCGGAACCTATAATAGATCCATGAGCGGTTGAGATAACCATGAAATGTTACGATAACCGCTCACTTCATCACTGCAGACTGCGCGATGAAAAGTCGGGCGTTGCAGACACGCCCCCTCTACGAAAGTCAAGTGTGTCAGTACAGGCACACAGCGCAGGTACTGACACAGCAGCACAGGTACTGACACAGCAGTGGAGGAATGGAAGACAAAGGCCCAGTACTAATATCCCAGTTACAACTGATAATGCCAAAAATTAAATAAATGCAGTGAATGAGGCTGGGCCCAGGATGGAGCGCCTCCTCGGGAGAATCAGGAAGGTGGTTTAATATATGAGAGTAAATATTCTCATAATGTGCCTTCTTATGTTGCACTTTGTGTTTTTCATTAATTATGTTAAAAAGACATAATTGGATGGATGGAATATGCCATCCATTTTCTTCCCCTTAATCCATTTCTAGGTCAGGGGGGGGGGCAGTCAGAGCTGCACCCAGTTCACAGATCACCAGCCCCTCACTGATCCTCCTGCAGGTGCCGAGTTTATTAAATAGACAAAACTTTTTTTTTTTTTTTTAAATGAACTGAACCGAGGTACGATCCCAACCGTGATTTTTTTCAAACCGTTGCACCCCTAATATCTTTGGATGTGTTTGTTGTATCAACACAATTGACCGAAAGACTCAAATAGTTCATAGTTCATAGTTCATGAAGCATCATTTCAAACACGTTTCAAAGTCCTACACCTTTCACATGGTGTGAAAACACACACCTAATATGACTCTACAGCGCCACCTATGTAAGGCTTCTGACCTAAACTTTTCCAATCTTCACCAAAGTTGCAAAATCAAATCTTTACATCTGTACGAGCAAAATACTACTCTACGTAGAGGGTGCATGTCCCGGAGGTGACCACTAGGGACGCACTTTATCATATAAATGAGCTTTTATATACGTAATCCTGGTCAGATCGGGCTGCCAATTTGTCGGCGTGACGCTTGTGGGACTGGCGCCCGGGAGGCGGTTGCAAGAGGGGCGAGGCCTTTCATCGCCGCTTGCGGCTTTAATTATTATTACTTCACTGTGTACACAGTGCTGGTGCCCTGGGGCCGATTAACAGACGTGAGGCAACCAGTATGTGCCATCAGCCCCTCCGACCACCCCCAATCAAGACGATGGCACTTTACAGCGGCTTCTGCCCTCTACTGTATAATAGTACTACCTAGGTCCTGCCCTGCTTAGCTCCTGAGATCTGACAGGTCAATGTTGCATTTGTTTTTCTTAAATATTGCGTTACTAAAAAACAGCCATTAGCTTGCACTATGGTTCTATCTAATCTTCCAGGAATCATGATTATACTTTACATGTGTATCTGTAATGTTTATTTATATAAATGTCAGATGGGAACATGCTGACAGTGTTTTTTTATTCAGACAAATAAACAAAAAATGGGCTTACACAAGAAGACACTTTTACGATTCACGATTCAAGAATTGTAGAGTTGTTGATAGATAGATAAATACTTTATTGATCCCCGTTGCAGAAATTCTCTTGTCCAGTAGCAGCAAAAATAAAATTGATCATTCTGAAAAGTTAACAATAGTAATAATCAGCAACAGCCCTTCAGGTCACAGCAACAGAGGTGGAGTAGCCTCTGGGTGGAGCAGGACGGGTCACAGCAGCACAGAGGTGGAGTAGCCTCTGGGTGGAGCAAGACGGGTCACAGCAGCACAGAGGTGGAGTAGCCTCTGGGTGGAGCAGGATGGGTCACAGCAGCAGAGGAGGAGTAGCCTCTGGGTGGAGCAGGACGGGTCACAGCAGCAGAGGAGGAGTAGCCTCTGGGTGGAGCAGGACGGGTCACATCAGCACAGAGGTTGAGTAGCCTCTGGGTGGAGCAGGACGGGTCACAGCAGCAGAGGAGGAGTAGCCTCTGGGTGGAGCAGGACGGGTCACATCAGCACAGAGGTTGAGTAGCCTCTGGGTGGAGCAGGACGGGTCACAGCAGCAGAGGAGGAGTAGCCTCTGGGTGGAGCAGGATGGGTCACAGCAGCAGAGGAGGAGTAGCCTCTGGGTGGAGCAGGATGGGTCACAGCAGCAGAGGAGGAGTAGCCTCTGGGTGGAGCAGGACGGGTCACATCAGAATCCATATTTTTCAAAGTTTTCAGGAGCTTTGCTGAACTCTATTTTGACTGAGCTGTTATTGATCTTATGGGATCGCGCCTGGTCAGAGGCCCATGACAAATTGTGATCCACTGATGCCAGGTGGTTTACTTCAAAATAGACTCATTTTGAATAATGTTTGTTTTTCTCAGATTGTATGGACACAGTGGAGCCTGCAGTGCTTGTGGTCAGTCTATTCCTGCCAGTGAGATGGTGATGAGAGCACAAGGCAATGTCTACCACCTTAAAGTAAGACCTCTGAGACCATGTGACGTGATACCAATATTATTGAGATTCTAAATGTTCTTGCTTTTTTTTTTTTTTTTTTTTAGTGCTTCACTTGTGCAACCTGTCGGAACCGCCTGGTCCCAGGAGATCGTTTTCACTACATCAATGGTACAATCTTCTGTGAACACGACCGTCCCGGAGGTCTTTTGAGTGGACTCCCTACGCCAATTCAGCCAAACGGCATGATGACTGACCAGAAGGTGTGCATGTAGTCCTGCTTTTTAGGATCCACCCAAAAGCATTAGAAAAGTTTGAGCATTTTGATATTTTAATTGACTTAATGTTAATGTGGCCTGTACTTAAAAAGTTACTAATCTTTGAAATTATGGCTTACATTACATTGATAATACTGTTTGTGAGTTGCCTGTTTAGTCCTTATCATTAAGATGACATTGACACTTAGTTTAGGTCTAGTTTAAGCCCATTATTGATTCATCTCTGTTGAGTAAAGTGTTATGTCTAGAGGGAAATTTTCTTGGACTCACATCCTCCTATGCTGGAAAGTACACACAAGAGACAGAAGTGTAACACAGGAGTGTCCAAACTTTTCATTAAGGATTGTAAAACTATTTTGACGAGAATTGGTCTATTTTGACATTCTAAATGAGGCGTAACATGACCATTTATAAATATAACGTCTGTGAGAGATGAGGTTAGCTGAATAACTTTCTCAATAGCTACATCAGTGCCATGACAAATGTTTGTGTCGTAATGAAAAGCTTTACAATGAAGTTTAACGTGCCATGTTGAAGCGGAAGGTGGCTGGATTACACTATGAGCTCGTGTTTACAACCTCAATGGTATTTTGGGGTTAGCAAGGCATAGGGCCACATGGAGGGGCTGCAATTGGCCCCGTGGCCTTAGTTTGGACATGCTTGGTAAAACAAAACGGTAATGAACATAAAACATCACAACTCAAGATTTGAAAACAGGACCTGAATCTAAAATATATTCAAGAATGCTAAAGAAACCGATTCATTGAAATTTAGCAAAGTTCCATGATGCAAATTGTATTTTTCAAAGGGCAAATTACCAGCTATAAAGGTGTCGTAGCCTTGACCTCATTCAAATAATTCAAAATGCATTTTGAAGTAATTTTCTTTTCTCTTTCAGGTCTGCTGAAATTGTGGTTCAAAAACCATATGTGCCTTGATCCTCTTTGAACTCTCCTGTCCTCTTCGCACACTGTTGTAAATGTGCGCCCCTTCAAAAAATGACTGTAAAGACCAATTCTGGTAACAAGATACGAAGGACGAACTCATAATGCAGAAACAGACTGTGGCCATTCTCCCTGAAGCTGGAGCCAGAGAGCTTTGACTAACTCGACTGATCTATAACAGTTTTGTAGATCATGTATCATAATAGTGTCAGTGTGATATTGTATTTTTGCATGGGTCTGTAACTACGCTTCTTGTCAAAAACTAGGGATGCACGAAAGTAGCTATTATTGCTAAATGTTTTTGACACAGTTTCAATTCAATCAAAACAAAATATGTACATTAATTTATTGTCATTTATGCCAAAATGAGCAAAGCAAAATGGGGACGGATAATTCGATTTTATATACCCATAATAACAATTGATTGTACTCAAAAGAATTCCAACTGACAAGATATTCTGTTGAGTTGCAATGTATTTATTTTTGAGGGGTAAAAATATGGTGTTGGCTTATATTGCAATTATAAATATATTGTGCAGCCCTAGTCTAATAATTTGTGTTATTAGCCAGATTGTGTCTCAGACTGATACAGTAAATATTGTGTGCAAAATGGGCATACATTTTACACATGTGCAACTTCTTGCACTGTTTGCACACTCGAATAAAAGTAATCACTATTTGTAAATTGTTGTGTACATTAATGTGCCATGATTTTGCAATATTTCTGGGATAAGCTTTCAACATGAAAATTGGGTATGATATCCTTCATAGATTATAGTGTCTTGTAAAAGTTAAAGGTTTTGAACAAATTGGACCACAACAGTAATGATAGATCCATGACCACAAAAGGCTAAAACATTAGAACATGTTTGTTTTTTAAACTTGACTGAGTGTCACTATTTGACGCTTTGGGCTGATTGGCTGAAGGAGGGTGGTATTTTTCTCATATTTCTGTCTGAAAAAGCTGTTCTAAATATGTGACTGAGGTTCTATCACTAGTTTACATGTATTTTTAGCCTAACTGTTTCAAGAGCCAAGATTCAGAAACTATTTACCGTAATTGCTGCACTATAAGCCGCTACTTTTTCCACATTCTTTCAACTCCCAAATAACTATGTGATCGATTTTATGTATTTTTATTGTGGCAGAGTATCCCCAGGCGCAGGAAGGGATTTGGATGAAGCTCTATCAACTGTTTACATTTTAACATAAACGCCTTGAGGAAATGCAAGGGATTTGTTTGAATGTGTAAAGGGCTATTGTCAGAGCAGAGTTTATGGACTTATCACTTTTACTCCATCTAGGTTTATTAGCTGTAGGACACATGTTTATTGTCCTACAGTTAATAAATTGGTAAACGAGTCCTGACATGAAAGCTAACGGTGAATGTAATTATGCTAAAGTTGCGTTACTCAGAGCTTTGATCGTCACAAGTCAAGTGCGCTAAACACATCGTCATTAAATCATGTCTCCAATAAAAAAATGGTCTACCGGCTTTGATTTGTGCCAACGCTCATCTGCTGGATAAGTGTTAAGCTGCGGCTTGTATTCAGGTGTGGCCTATACAGTATGTGGACAAAATGTACTTTATTTTCAAATGTATCTGGTGCGGTTTATATGCTGAGGTGATTAATAGACTGTAAATGGAGTTGGTTTGGCTGTTCATGTGAAAACTAGTGATGGCTCCTCAACCTTTTTTTTAATGGTATACTGTATACATTTGGTGACCCAGCTTTCAAAAGTAAAATGAGCCATGTCACCAGATTTAAATATAAAACAGGTTTTTGGTGGAATCCCTTGTCTTTGAACTGCGAATGTAAGGCCATGCAGTCAGCTGAACCCCTTTTCTCAGGTGATTACAGAGGTCACTTGGTTAAAACTACAGTGAACTTGATAGGCACTGCTCCACATGGAGGAGTGGGTGTAACACTTGTGGTTCCCAGACAAACATGGCTGATTACCCACAGGAATGGGATTTCAAAGGCCCGACTCAAGACCATTACAGAAGCAATTAAAGTGGGATGCGCTGGAGGCCCTGCACTCCGGCGCTGCAGCCTAATGAGCCCTAATCTGGTGAGCTGGTCTAATTAAGGAGGAGGGAGCCTGTTCCTGTGGGCACGGACTGAGCAGGCAGCGGTGTGTCATAGGAAAAGTATAAAAGTCAGCATCGTTCCTCCTTCTGTCTCATCAAATTAAAGTTTCCACTCCTTGCATCGTGATTGCTATCTGGCATGGAACTCATCTTCATTTTTCATTTGCCCATTTGGCACATATTTCACCCAGGGCTAATTTTAGAATAACTTTGAGGTCATATTGTTTGTGTGGCTTTTTCCAGAAAGGAAAAAAATGTGGTGTGTGAACCATTGAGGCAGAAGAGGAGGCACACATGAGTAGCCAGCTGTGACTTTCCAAATGAACAGAGGGCTGGAGCACTCAGCAGCTCCTCTTGCGGGGTAAGTCCAATTAGCCGCACATTCGCAGCAACAATGAGGCTTTTAATGGTAATGTTTCAAAGTGCTCTTTCATAATGACGCCGGGTGAGCACATTCCTTTGGTTTTTCAGCCGTCACACCAACTCTCAGCGCGGCACACAGCCCTTTGACAAGAGTGTTGTGTTTTTAATTATTATCCACTGTAATGAGGCTTACTTCACACAGATATACTACACCCTCTCTTTAAATATATGTTTTTACATTGTTCTGAGAAACCGGTTCATTATATTTGGGTGGAGTTCTGCCTTCTGTGGGTTTGTTTGAGGGAATTCAAAGACTTATGTTCATTGATGACTGGTCTCATTTGACAAATCAGTTTTCGAATAAGTTTTAATTGGTTACTTGATGAATACAGGAGCAAAAAATGTAATATACTGTATATTCCTACATTTCCTTTAACATCAATTGGCATTAAATTGAGACAATAAAAAAACATACGACAAACTTACTACACATAGTATTGTACACTCAGAAAAGGGCTTGTACAATAAAGTACAAGCTCAACCTTCTCCCTCAGAGCGGACCACCTGGTTTAGAGCTCTCCCTCAGAGCGGACCACCTGGTTTAGAGCTCTCCCTCAGAGCGGACCACCTGGTTTAGAGCTCTCCCTCAGAGCGGACCACCTGGTTTAGAGCTCTCCCTCAGAGCGGACCACCTTGTTTAGAGCTCTCCCTCAGAGCGGACCACCTTGTTTAGAGCTCTCCCTCAGAGCGGACCACCTTGTTTAGAGCTCTCCTTTCTTTGACTGCGATGATGGCAAACCACAGAACCAACGTGCAAACTCAGTGGTGCAGTGCTGAAAGTTAAGCAGAGGCTTAGTTTACAACGTGATGCGTGATTTTAAACCCAAAAACGTACACTCCTCTACAACTAGCACAAAAACAAGTTTCGCTTTCTTGATGTATTCAAGTGGAGGTTGTTATCTTAAACGTTCTCTATCTCGAATCATCTCTATCTCTGATGAGACCGATGTCAGAAAACGTGATGCTCAAGTTTGTGTCAGTGGAAGCCACTCTGTCAAGAGTGTTCAGAGTAACAAAGCAAAGGACTCAAAATACATCCCTGAGGAGTTCCAGTGCTCACAAACACTTTAAATCTTTAGTTAAGAAGCTACAAATCCACTTACACATAGAATCTCTCAAACCAAGTGACACAATGCGTATGAACTACAGCGGATCAAATCTGGGATCTGGGCTCCTTTCATTAACCCTTCTCTTAATGTGGGAACATAGAGGTGTGAGCACGTCCTCTGGGGACTGACGCCCAGACCCACACACAAAGGGGCAAAATTACGCTTGAATTGTGTAATAGTTAAGATATTTGGATCCTCCAAGCATAAAGTATTTAATCTTGCATAAAATGTGTGCTAATAAAGTTAGCATCTGCTAATTCTGAAGGTAAAGGTGAGCTTTATCAATCCCTGTAGGGCAATTCGATCCTCTGCATTTGACCCATCCTGATGCTGCTAAAGCTACGTCAGGAGCAGTGGTCGCCGTAGTAACAGCACCTGGTAACCCATCTCCAGATGTTGATGCTCGGCTTGGTCAGGACTATTGGAGCTGGAGGATTTAACCTAGTGTGCATGTTTTTGGTGGTAGGAGAAACCTATGCAAGCACGGGGAGAACATGCAAACTCCACTCAGAAAGACCCTGTTCCGATCAGGATTCAAACCCAGGACCTTCTTGCTAAGAGAAGAGAGTGCTATCTACTCAGCCACCATGCCACCCCTGGTTATTATTATAATACTTAATAATAATACTTGTGCCCTTGTAAAGCGCTTCACAGGCTTCTTTAAGTCTATTGAAACACTATAAGAAACGTTGATTTAAAGGAGACATACAGACCTGGAGTTGTTGTTAGTTCGATCCAGCGTTCGTAAATGTCGTAATTGTTAGATATAGGGGAACAAGAATGACATTAATTTGTATAACCACAAGCCTTTTTAGAAGAACGGCAGACTGCAATGTGATAGCCAAGGGCCAAAACGGAAACATCCTTGTGGAGTGGGGAGTGTTTCCAAATAATACCTCAGTCTCTGGTTGGTTTGATACATAGTGCTCTGCTCCTCCTACGCCTTTGATCATTTTAACCCAATTTTCAGAAACAACATTGCACATGTTTCCATTCTGTTCTTTGCCAGTAGTGTGTTCAAATCGAGAACAAGCACAGGCAATATATATTGTATATATCGGGTTTATATTGTACAATCATGTTTTGTGAAATAAAAACAGTGCTAAACTCGCTCTGTGTACCTGAAGTTTGGTTGATTATTGGTATGTATTTTTACATTAAACAATCCTCAATGTCGCGCACCAAAACCTATTAGTAAGTAAGTAAGTAAGTAATGCTTATTTATATAGTGCATTTTTACAGACCAAGGTCACCCAAAGCACTTTACAATGTTCAGAGTCAGATATTGTTCCAATCATTCCACACACGGTGATGACGGAAGCGAGTCGCCGAACACACT